ATAACAGTTGTATGAGCCCCTAATAAAATGTTAAAAAAAAAAAAAAAAGAAAAATTAAAAAAAATAAAAAATAAAAAAATAAAAACACTCCAATAGGAAAAAAAACAAAAAACTTCCTAAATGCTCTACAATATTTATTATTCCTGATTAGTCTTGCAATCAGGAATTTTTTGTCAAACACGCGTCTTATTTCTTAGTGCTTAGCCTAGCACATCTAAAATGAGCACAGTTAAAATAATGGTATAGTGCGAGGCGAAAGGCAAAACTCAATCAAGGGGAGGGTGGGGTGGTTTATGAACAGACATGAACTCAGGAAATGAAGGTCTAACATACACATGCCAGCCCAAGACCTCATTCTAGTGGTGAGGTGTGTGGATCTGTGTGTTACATTACATAAGTGAGAGGGTGGCCACACAGAAGCTCATGTAGCCTGGGAATTTCCTCATGCTGCTATTTCATGCCAGGCCTCCTCTCCTAAGAAGAAAATCAATACTGTGAGAAAGAGACAAGAGAAAGGAAGAGAGGGGAGGGAGGAAGAGGGGGACAGAAAGAGAAACTAAACACTACCAAAGAGGCCGGGATTCAGCGGTAAATGGCTGCTGAGACCCCACCTCTACCTGAGTCAACAGGTGGGGAAGGAGCCACAGAAGTCAGTTACAAAACATGTGTAGGGTAGCCTTCTTTAAGCCTTTTATCCTAGGAAACCAAATTGGCTATAATGGCATAGTGATGGGCTTATCACTTCATAGGGGGTAAATGAACACTTATCTTGTTAGCGGAAAAAAACCAAAAAACCTTGTCATAAAATTGCTTCTGACTCATGGTGACCCCACAAATTCCTGAACAGAACTGCTTCATGGGCTTGGTCTATGAGCTTTACTGAAGGTGAAGACTCACTGTGGAGTCGATCTAGACTCATAATGACCTAGCGGACGAGTAGAATCACCTGTGGGTGTCCAAGACTAAATCCACTCGCCAGTTGAGTGGCTTGTGGTTTCGAACCATTGACCTTGTAGTTAACTGTCCAACTCGTAACCACTATGCCCCTCCCCAAGGCTGCTAGAGATTGTAAACAAGTGAATTTTCCAGTATTCAAGGGAGAAAGATAGAGGCTGGATGAATAAATGAAGCCGATTTTCTGTTGCTTTAATCTAGTTAGCCCTCATTCCAATGCCAATCTTTTCTTCAATATACACATTAAACAGACTGTCAACAAGAGCTCTGCATCTTTAAAATGCAGGTATATTTGTGTCTTGCCTGGCAGCAACGACTACTCTGTACCCAAGCTCCCAAGAACAATGTCGTTCTTCCAGGTAAACATCATGTGCCGACGAGAACTACAGGTCCTTCCATGGACCATTACATAAGGGTACTTAGATGTTAAATGCCAATCAGCATCCACTATGACCTACAACACAGCTACAATTGATTGGTTTATATTCATTTCCACTAGCCAAAGCAGGTCATGTTAAAACTTGTGTTCTTGTGTTTTCTAGTCCTTAGCAATCGCATGTAATCTGCATGAATAGCATATTATCGCTAGTCCATTTCTACTGATGCAGCTAGAGAACACGGATAGCAGCTACCACTTGGGCGCTTGTGTGTACCAGGTGGCCAAGCACTGTGTCAAATGATTGTCATGTTTTGGTTCTTTTCATTCTCGTCAACACATTAGGGGGTTTGTGTGCCGGCCATTGTCTGTTGGTGCTCGGAACTTGAAAGCTAGGTTTTCCAGACTCCATGGCCAGCTGGATTCTGCCTAGGTTCTGCCAGAGAAGTCCTGGTAGAACATTCAAATGCAGCAGTAAGAAGCCTTCCCCCAGCCCCCCACCCACCCCTTCTTATCCCCTGCTTAAGGTTACAAGTGGTAGGGGTTCCTGCAAAAGCAAGGGCTAGTGACCAAGGTTCCAGCAGCATCCATGGAAGCGTCAACACATGAATTCTGGCTCCAGGCTTCCCGCTCAATAGCAGCAGTAGTGAACACCTGCTCGTGACCTTGTGTGACTCCCGTTTCCTTGTCTTTGCTCAGTCCGATGAGCGACTGCAGCAGCCTGCTTCAGATTTGTTACCTTTGGCTGCCACTGCCTACCCTTTGGGCTCCTCCAACCCTTCCAACCTCAAATCACTGCCTATATTGGATCCAGCTTAAAATACCTAGTGGGGCATTACTTTTCCTAGCAGCGGTGCCCACGGTGGGGAGCTAGAGCAAGCTCCAGGCTAGAGTAAGACTGAGGTCACCTGAAAAATGAAGTCAGCGCTGACAACTCCTTCGTTAAGTCAAAACACAAAGATACCAGAGGGCTGTGTCACTCCTCCAAGGAGACCTGAGGCCTCACTGCTGAAGATCACTGGAGCTTGGGTACAGCTGACGTCACTCTGCTTGGAAGACTGAGCTAGAACTCGCTGGACAGGCTGAAGAAGGAAGTAGCCTGTGTATCAGCTGTCCACGACTAGACTAAACCAAGGAAAAACATCTTCAAAGGCCGTATGAGGTTGTTGCAGGCGCCAATGTGTCCCTCAAAATAACTGTGGTAACGCCTATGACCAAGAGGAAGACCGTCAACCAGACGGACTGGTACAGTGGCTACAGCGATGGCTTCAAACACAACGACAACTGTGAGGTGGGGCTGGGCTTGGCAGTGTTTCCTGATGCTGTGCATGGGGTTGCTGACACCGCGCCAACGCGATGGCACTTGGCAACAACGTAACACCTGTGGCTGTCATCTCATTTGGGAATGGGTATTATTGTGGGGTGTGTCTGAAGCCCATCTCTTTTGAGACATAAAAGAGAACAAACGAGGAAAGATGGGGGTGAGATCTGTCAAAGGACAGGAAGTTCCCTAGAGCATAGACCCCAACCAAACTCCCTGCAATCGGGTCGCTGAGGACTCGTGGGGCCTCTGTAGGTAAAACAAGGTCGAACTGGCTGTGTGGGTTACTGACCCTGCACTCTTTATGGGAGTGAGAGCCCCGTTGCGCTCCCACTGAGCTGACGGTGGTTTTGAACGGCTGACTTTTCAGATCTCAGCCCAAAGTGTAACCACATCACCAGGGTTCCTCCCCTGGACCATAGGTTCTCAAATGTATTTGTCCTATCACCCCCTCTTCAGGGAAGGTGGGGGGGAGGGGGGAGACAAACTCCTCAGTGGCCGCTGGCAATTAAAAGCCTTTATAACACAGCTCATCTCCAGGAGAAAATGAGGCTGGGTATCTGCTTTGTCAGCCCCACTGGGTCATACCAGCGCCCCCTAAGGGGCCGTTTCACCCATTTTGGTAAACACTGCTCTAAATCGAACCTCTAGGGCCTTAAACTATGAGAAAAGAAGCTTTTGTTAAAGCCACCTTCTGTGGTATTTCTCTTAGAGCAGCACTGGATATCTAAGCCATAGGTCAAGTTAAAAATGCCAGCGAGATACAGGGGCAGCCAGGGGGCAGCTGCCCACTCTGGACTGAGGGAAGTGGTGTTGTCGGCAGACTACGCAGGGCAACCACCACTGCCGCAATCCAACAAACCAGCCCGCCGGGGACAGGGTTTTCGAACACACTACTCCCCGCCAACTTTCTGTGACGACCACAGATGTTGAAACCTCACGCACTTCCAGTGCTCATGAAAGTCAGGGCCAGAGGAAACAAAACTGAGTGTTACAATCAGAATGTAGCGTTGCTACGTGTATAACAGATGTTGGAGGATGCCCCCTCTGCCGCCTGGGACACTGTGGCTGCAAAGAGGAAGTGGGATGCTGTGGACACAGTCCAACATCAGAAGGGAGGCACCCCCAGGGTCCCCATGTGACTGATCTCCACACTCACCTCTTCCCAAAGGTGGTCTCCAGTAAAGGTATTAGCAGTGACACACCAAATACAGGGGCTTCCAAAATTTGAGGGGTGGGGAAATGAGATGAAGAGACAGGGGTTTCATGCAAGAGCTTTTAGAAGCCCCTCATACAATGCATGTATTTACTTATTTATAATTACTTCCCAGATGGAAGTCATTAACCCCTTAAGTAACTGAAGATCAACCATTATGCCTTACCCTCTCTCAAAAAAAAACCAATTCGTAACCACAAAACCTGTAAAAGGAACTCTGGCAACAGGTTATTCCGACCCTCTCATTTACAGATGAGGAAAGTAAGAGCCTGATTAGCATAGGGACACAAGAAATTCACATAAAGTACAGTCCAATGGAATCCATGTGTTTCTTCTGAAGGCCCTGCGGCGGGAAGCATGCGCGGTGCTTTCAGATATGGAAACAAAGCAGAGGGAGAGGAGAGGGGAAAGGGCAGCTCTTCAAATGGTTGCAATTAGCTGATTACTGCCTATTTGGAAGTAGTCACCTGTCACAGTCCACTGCGGAAGCTATTTACAGCAAGTGAAAACTCACAGAGAAGTTATCAAGGTGCTCCCCTGTGACAGCTGAGAAAAACAAACAACTTGGGGTGGGGTTGGGGGTGGGGAGACAATGCAGTTCAAACAAAACCAAGTTGAAGTTCATTTTCTAAACGTACTATTCTGGTAGAATTGGCTTTAAAATAGCCCGGTGGGGAGCAGGATGAAAGAGAAGTGGGGGAGGGACGGGTGAAGCTGAAACAGGAGCTAATGTCGTCTGTACAGAGTTCATGCTAGTCTCTATCTCTGCCATATGGGGGACATTTTCCACTATTAAAAATTAATAAGCAAATTGTTGTGGAATACAAGCCCAGGCAGTGCACACACAATACCAATGAGTTGAGAGTGGCAAAGAAGTATCCCCTCTTAATGAATGTCATTCGTTATTATCATCTACAAAATAAAGTTCTGCTAAAAAATAAATAAATAAAGTTCTGCCAAAACCAGGTCACAAGGCACTCAATTCCTGTGACATTACTTCGTCTGAGAATGAGCCAACTCCATAAGTCAAAAGCCAAAGCCAAACCTACTGGCATTGAGTTGATTCCAACTCATAGCAACCCTGTAGGTCAGCGCTTCTTTATGGGAGTACAAAGCCTCACCTTTCTCCCCAGGAGCAAGTGTTGGGTTCAAACTGCTGACCTGGTGGTTAGCAGCCCACTGAGTAGCAGCCCCCCTATGACGCCACCAGGGCTCCGAAACCTGGTAAAGATTTTAGGGGAAAATATTTCTCAATTATACATCGTGTAAAACTTTGTAAGCCGGATTTCTTTAGATAAAGCATACCACTCTTAGGGAAAGAAAAGAAACGGTTGCATTAAGATGATAAACAATGACCACTGATCTATGAGATTAGATCAGCTATCTACAAGGAAGGAAAGCAATACAAAGAAAACCATTTTAGATGGAATAAAGGAAATGTGTACTGTTTTTAGGCCTTACCACAACTAAACACAGGCAGAGAGATGAATAGGATGCGCCGTTTTATTAAACCCAAGGGGTGAGTAAGTTTTCTTTGGGGACTCAGTGAACCAACTGAGTGTGTGAGCTCGGACTGGAGGGTGTTAAAATCAAAAGTCCAAACCTGTGGTTCTCAAACACTGGACGGTGAGTTCAAGGATTCCCAAGAGGCTCCGAGGACTGTCAGAAGATACCAGTCAGAAGTTGCTGAACCAGAACTCTGTGTCCTCTACATATGCGACGCTCTCCCTAATCTTTCAGATTGTCTCCTCAAACAAGTCAGGCTTTTAGAACGTCCTACCCTTCCAGCTACTGGTGGTTCTGCAAACCGGTAGGCGGCTGAACAGCTGTACCTTCTCAAAGACGAAATTTATAGCAAGGAGCGCTGCAGGCTTTGACGGGGCTTATTTTTGAAGGGGCTTGTTTTTGAAGGGTGGAAGGGATGGAAATGGGAAATTAGTCCCTGAAACAGCCCTGATAGGGAGGAAAGTCAGCCCAAAAAATGATAACAGTTGTACAAAAATTACCAAAAAACAGATGAGTGGCATGCGCAAAAGGGTTTCTGCTTCAGGCAGAAGAAAATAAAGGTCAGAAATAGCTGCAAAGAGTGTTAAACCAAAGAACACGCTTTTCCCAGAAAGTAGAAAGGTTTGTGGGGTTTTAAAGGACGATGTAATAACCTCTATTTGAGATGCATTAAGCTGTTAAAAAAAAAAAAAAAAAAAGGTCATTTAAGCAAGGTTGAGGGTCTTAAAAGTTTGTGAACAGCCATCTATGGTACAACCAATTGTTTCTCACTGTCCTGAGGAAAGAAGAGGGGAGAAAATTAGGACACATAAAAACAATTAGTTCAATGGACGGCTGGACCACATGAATAACCTATGACTCTGAGACCAGAAAAACTAGATGGTGCCCAGTGGCCTCCACCAATGACTCTGAGAGAGATGACATTAAAATGACCTGGTTAGAGTGGGAGAAAATGTGGGGCAAACGCAAAATCATAAAAGAGATCAGGCATATCGATATGACAGAGACTGGCTAGACGCCCAGGACAGTGGTTCACAGTCACCCTTCAGGTCTGGAAGAGAACTCACTCACCTCTGTGTTAGAATAAGCAGCCATAAGATCAAAAGGGCAGCATTTAACCAAAACACATTCCGAGGGTGAATCACAGAAGATCGAAATGGATGAGTTTAATCAAAATATGTACACATTCCTGAATGACCTGCTCTATAAACCTTCGCCTAAATCACAATAAAAAGCTTAAAAAGCTGCAAATAGTGTTCTACCAAGTTACATACTTATCCTAAAAAGGGTAAGGGACTCCAAGTGCTTATGGATTCAAAAGAAGACTGCTGGAGAAACACTAGCTTTAAAAAATGTGCCTTTTGTGTATCAACTGGAGTCTTAAAAGCTGGGAAGCAGCCCTGTAAGGAGTAACTATTGATGTCTCCCTGCCCAAAGTGAAGAAAAGCGCAAAAAACCAGAGATAAAAAGGAACCAGCCCAAAGCGCTCACGTGCCATGCGAAGAGTAGTTGACGCCAAGACTAGAACTAGAAGGTGCCCAGCTACCACTGCTGAGAAGGATGGCTTTAAGATTTAGAAGGTCCTGAACAGCATGGGAGAAAAGTGTGGAATGAAATTCAAAATCATATGAAGACCAGGAGTGATAGCCATATATAAACTAAGACTATGGACCCTTCGTCAATTCCCAACCCCCTTTTCAGGTCTGGAAATGAATTCATACTGTCTTGTTTTCACTCAAACAGCAGACAGGTTTATAAGGGGAACAGTAACAGCAGGCAGCGAGCCACAATAATCCACCCTTTAAGATGAAAAGAACAGCATTTATCCAAGAACAAAGTTCGGAAGGGTTGGGAAAGGAGGAGGAACAGAAAACCCAGGAGGGAGTGGGATCAGGGCTGAGCCACTGTGGGGACTGCAAGCCATGGCATGGAAAAAAGGACGTATGGACTTTCACTCAAGACTTTCACGCAATAAAAACTTACACACAAACAGCTCACCTCCTAGATATGATCACTGAAGACAAATGGGTGCATATGCAAATGTGGTGAAGAAAGCTGATGGTGCCCGGCTATCAAAACATATAGCATCTGGGGTCTTAAAGGCTTAAGGGATAAACAAGCGGCCATCTAGCTGAGAAGCAACAAAGCCCACATGGAAGAAAAACACCAGCCTGTGTGATTACGAGGTACCGAGGGGATCAGTTTTCAGACATCAAAGAACAAAAAAATCATCATTGTGAATGAGGGGGAGTGCGGCGTGGGGAACCACAGCCCATATGTAGGCAACTGGACATCCCCTTACAGATGGGTCGTGAGGAGGAGACGAGCCACTCAGGGTGCAGTATAGCAACGGTAAAACATACAACTTTCCTCTAGTTCCTAAAGGCTTCCTCCCCGCCCCTTCCTCCCCCTCCACTATCATGATCCCAATTCTACCTTACAAATCTAGCTAGACCAGGGGATGTACACTGGTACAGATAGGAAATGGAAACACAGGGAATCCAGGACAGATGATCCCTTCAGGACCAGTGGTGCGAGTGGCGATGCCAGGAGGGTGGAGGGAGGGTGGGGTAGAGAGGGGGAACCGATTACAAATATCTACATATAACCTCCTCCCTGGGGGACAGACAACAGAAAAGTGGGTGAAGGGAGATGTCGGACAGGGTAAGAGATGACAAAATAATAATTTATAAATTATCAAGGGTTCATGAGGGAGGGGGGAGCGGGGAGGGAAGGGAAAAATGAGGAGCTGATGCCAGGGGCTTAAGTGGAAAGCAAATGTTTTGAGAATGATGAGGGCAATGAATGTACAAATGTGCTTTATACAACTGATGTACATATGGGTAGAGATGACAAAATAATAATTTATAAATTATCAAGGGTTCATAAGGGAGGGGGGAGCGGGGAGGGAAGGGAAAAATGAGGAGCTGATCCCAGGGGCTTAAGTAGAGAGCAAATGTTTTGAGAATGATGAGGGCAATGAATGTACAAATGTGCTTTATACAACTGACGTACATACGGGTTGTGATAAGAGTTGTATGAGCCCTCAGAAAAATGATTTAAAAAAAAAAAAGAAACTTACACAAACACACACTTCTCCTGGAGCTGTGGGAAGGGAACATTTGTTTCTACCTAAGCGGCATGTTAAGGTAAACGCCTTTTGAAATATTTATCCACATATAAATGAGTTCTTGCATTTCTTAGTAGAAACTTAGAATATATGTAGTAGGATAAAGTTATATTACCAGTTTTCCATACTGAAAGCTGAAAAGCACTAAATGATTTCACAATCTAGTTTACTTCTCCTAAACCACTTTATTGAATATCTGAATATTAAAACAGCCAAAACTATATATATATATTTTTCCTCAACCTGTTGAAGATCTCCAGTTCAAAATACCATATATACTTTTATATAAGCCAAGTTTTTCAGCACATTTTAAACGCAGTTTCTGTGGTAAAATTAGGTGCCTCGGCTGATATTC